AACTGAAATGTTCAGTTTCGATATACGTCTTAATTCTATCTAATAAATTTCTATTCTTCTTACTCCAAAATTTGATGCAGCAAATTGATCAGCTGCTGATACTGCAGTTGTTGCTGTTGTATGTGCATAATAAGCATTTATATTAGCTAAAAGAGTACTCATCACAGCTGGAACACCGGGACACGTATATTTTTCTGATAGACATGCAAAATGTCTAAATAAAACATATTTTATAATTATTTATTTTTGTTTTGTATATAAATAAAATAAAATAATAATTTACGTCATTGCTTGATAAATTGATTCAATACCATAACGTATGGCAAATTCATTAACAATTTCTTGTGAAGGTTCATCAAAATATATTTTCCAAGCATCATCCTTTAACATACAAACATATTTATTAATAAAAAAAAACAAAAAAAAAATATAAACTTACTCCTTTAGCATCAGGAATAATTGGTTGACCATTATTATTTTCACAAAGTGTAAAAAATAAATTCTCATGTAAACAAGTATATTGTGCATGATATGGAGCTACTTTTTCTTCTCCTTTTATTTCAACTGAAATATGAAGACGAATAGCACCAGAAACAGCTGATTTATCTGTTCGTTTTTCTAAATTATACCAAACATCCATTTCACCAGATAATGTTCGAACTTCAATTATTGTTTGACCAAGAAAATCATCAGATTCACGGGTTAATTTTTGCATTAATTTAGCTCGTATATCATCATCTTCATCCCTAAATTGATTTTTTTGGTTTTGAAAAAAAAACAATAATTTATTTTATATATAAATTTTAAACTTACCATACTCGAACTTTAATTCGATCAGATGAATTATGACATTCACTAAACAAAAACAAAAAAAAAACGAACAAATAGACTTCAATTAATCGAAATTAAAATTTTATTAAATAAATTTACAAAAAGAATTTTTCATTCCATGTTGGATTTAATTCTGAATAAACAGTTTTCGTTCGTTTTTTAACTTTTCCAACTTGAACAGTTACATATGGATCTGATGTACCAGATTTATCTTTAGCTATTAAACCTTGAGCACTTATCACTAAAATAATATTTTTTATCTTTTTATTGAAAAAATAAAAATTGAAATATATTCTTTTACCAGTTATTGCCAATTTAGCTGACCATTTTGATGTACCATCAAGTACACTTTGTTTAACAGCTTTCATATGACCAACATGAGATCTCTCATCAACATTGAATACATCCCTTAATAAAACATTATTAACAAATAAAATTTATTTTATTTAAGAAAGAAATCTAACCTAATTGTCTTAAATAGATGTGGTCGTGTACTTTCCCTGAGTGTCATTTTTTCATGCATGGCTTCCATTAAAGTTTTTGCTTTATCATCAGCACCATGCTTAGCATTTTTTTGTGCTCGACCTATTTACAAAAAAAAAAAAAACATTCGATATTTCAACAAGAAAATAATAATGAAAAGATCGAAATATATTTGGTTAACTTGAAAATATGTATATGGAAGATATATCGAATACTAATAAATAGCATGCAATATTTAAAGCATAAAAATAACAAGTTGAAATTCGATGGGAAAGTAAAGAAAAGAAAGCAGGGTCATAAAAAAATATAAATGCATATTATCTCCAAACTTCTGCATACGTTTCTCCTCGACGATAATGTTATCAATCTTATCTGGATTATCATCATGATGAAACACATGAACTAACGATACTAGAACAACAATTATATACATGACGATATATAAGATACAAATAACAACATAGAAAAGAAAAATACATCAACTATTTGGTTTTTTTTTATATAAAACAACAACAATAAAACTAAATTGATTTCTAATAAAAATGAATAAATAAATAAATAAATAATACTTACGTTGAAGACAATCAGCATTAAGAAGATCTTTACATTTTTCATGACATTTAACTCCACATTCACGACATTTTAAGCCTTGTCTTGCAATACCCCATAATAAACCTTCACATTCATAACAATATGTTGGATGTGTAAATGAACAAAATTCAAAATCATGTGGAGTTGTTAATGATATTGGATAAATTAATGCTTGTAATGTTTTTTTATACACATGAGTACGCTAAAATTATATATAGATTTTTTTCTTTAAATTTAATTTAATTGAAATATTTTATTAATTATTATTTACAAGTTCTTCATCATTTAAATTATGTCTTCCAATTGCACTTGGAACACCAGCTGATCGTTTTGCACTTGTTATACCCTAAATAAAATCATTTAATTAATGAAATTTGATTTATTTTTGTTTACCATATCAAGTCCCAATGGAACTGTTTTTCCATCAGGTATATCCGGTGCACTATCAATACAATTATAAAATGCATTATGTCCTTGTTGTTCACCAGATATTGGACTAAAATAAGAAATAAACAAAATAAAATAATTTTTATTTGTTTTGTTTTTTTTTTTCTTTTCTATAGAATATATCTAACTACTTGTTGATCAATAAAGAAAATTGAAAATTTATTAATGATTTTTGTTTATTAAAAATAAATAAACGTTGACAATATTCTTGATTATAAGAATGATTCTTATATATATATATAAGTAGGTCAACTTGACAAAAAAATAAAAATAAACAAGTCTATGTAGGAATGTAATCTATAATAATCTTTGTTTAACAATTTTCTAGATACCTTTATGTTACAGTCACGTAATTATCAATATAAGAAAATATTTTATCGACATATATGAAAAGACTAATTTTTATTTATTGAAAATTGATGTTTTTTTTTTTTCATCAGAAATGGTACGCATGATTAACAAATAATCAAGTATATTCTAGTTGTTTAGTTATAACAAAAATAGAAAGAAAAAATATAACTAATTGAAGGAATACTCGTATTCTGGGAATAAATAAGATCATCTTTAGTCTCCAAGGATTTAGAAAAGATTTCTAATTTTTTTTTTTTCGAAGATCATTAGAATATGAAAAGTACAAAATTGATCAAGATTGGACAATTCCTTCGTCTCTACATATAACAATAATAACAAAAAAAAAATCCAATGATAATAAGTCTCATCAGACTAGGCATCATATGCCATTGGTCTTCATTCTATACTAAGAACAACAACATAAGTGGTGACAAGGTTAAAGAGTACCACATGGAACAACTTAGAATAATATTGAGAATGTATAGATTAAGACTGAAATAATGTAATCAATTAACTAAACAGTGTATCTTTATGGATATGGGCACAGTAACTTACTTTCCATTATTGTCAATATTGTTATTACAAGTATTATTAATATTTGTAATTCCTGGTAACATTCTTCTTGTAATCGGTGATCCATCTGCATCAAGTGTGGAATTTTGTCTTAGTCTTAATACTTGATCACTGAATTTTTCATGAGAATTCTATAATAGAAAAAAAGAAAAACAATATACATATATATAAATATATTCGTAAAGAAAAAAATAAATAAATAAACTTCACAACTCACATCTACATTATCTGATAAAGAAATTAAATCAAATTCTTCATCGAAATCTTTCATATGATTTTTTTTATTATAAGAAAAACATAAATGTCGATCAAATTGTTTCGTATATGAATTTTTTTTTTCTTGAAATGTAAAATTTCGTTTTTGATAAATATTATTATCTGATGAATAAGCATCAACATTGGATAACAATGGAGGACAAACCGGTATACAACATATATAATACATATCATCAATCTTTAGTATTATTATGATAAATGTTCGCTTAGAATAACATCTTATCTTTTTTTTTTGTTTCTTTTTCTTATTATTTTCCAAAACAAGAGGATGAAGAAAAAAAAAAGGAAATCACCTGAAAAGCACAGTGTGCCTTTTTTTATTATTTAGTCTTTTCTTTTCTTTTCTTTTTTTTTTTTTTTTTTATAGATATCCATTATATCACGCAACGATTTCTTATTAATACTAATACGACTAAATATAGTAAAAAATAATCAATAGAATAGATAAAAGATACTTAGACTGTCAAATGAATAGAATAACATTAGATATATTAATATTATCATGGAAAAATTGTTATTTTATGTTTTTTGAAAAATAATTCATTTTAAATGATATAGAAAAGATTAAAAGTCAATTGAAAATTTTTAGTTATTTTAATAGATTCGTCTGCGATATAAATTAGAAAAATCTTAACATATTTATCTGTCTATTTCTTAACGATTGTTGATAGAATATAACGAACCTCGACGAAAATAGTATAAAACAAAAAATCCTTCAACATAATCAACACATTAGAATACTAAAAGAATTATCTATTTCTTCATTTTGTACATCCATCAACATCTTCAAAAATCATATCGACATTTTGAAAAAATATCTTTTATCTATTGGATAAAATTTCATGAATTTTTTATCTATTATATCATACAAAATAATAAGAACTGTTAACAAAAAGTCCTAGGAGATTTAAACATAAAACGACAATATAGTGAGTAGGTGTTGATTACATTGCTTGAAGTTTATGTGTTATTATGCTTCTTAGTGACAAAAACAAAAAAAGAAAATTAAATCTAAACAATCGCGATACATTCACCGAAATAGATAAAAACTATTTCATCTATTTCATCAATGAAAACAAATATATATATCAATAAGATAAAGATAAATTCAACGTTTTCATCGAAGATTTATTCTAATAAGTAAAATGAAACATAATTGATAATCAATAGTGAGAACTATAATATCAATATTTGACAACTTATTTTTGCTTAGATCAATATAATTCGAGATATCGACTGAAACATTTATCGTCTTTCATATTGAATTTTTATGAGAATTGAAAAACAAAATTAAATTTCTTAAGTTCTTTTTTTTTTTTAAATCCATTAAATACTCTTTAACCTTTTTTTGTTATAAAGTTAAACACAATAATAGATCTTTAAAATAAAGAAAAAGTATTGATGATTATATCACAAATGTCTTGAAAAAAAATGGATATAAAATTGTTTTATTCTTCAATAATATCATATGTTTCAATAGTTTCTTCTGTAATAACTGGCATTGGTGTTCGTTTTGATGGTTGAATTGTTTCTAAAACAAATGTAAGAACTTTTTCTCTTAATTTTGTCATATATAAACGAATCATAGCTAATCTTGATAAACGTGAAAAATTCAGACTTGTTTTTGTATCAAATAATAATGGTTCTGGTTCAGGTTCCATTGATTGAGGTAATTGACTAAATGATGTTCGATGATTTGCTTTTGTTAATAAAAGTGCACGTGGTGTTGCATATTTTAAAAATGTCCATTCAATTGATGTTATATCCATTAATGATAAATGTTTTGATAAAAGTATTGTTTTTTCTTGAGTTTTTATATTTAAATTTATTAAACTTCGATGAAATGGTCGTTTTATTATTTTTGTTTCACATAATGATTCAATATCAAATGTTAGTTTTGACATTGTTGAATTTCTTTTAAGAAATTCTTCAATTGTAAAATCATTATTTGTCATTGGTGTTAATATATCACTTACAAATGATGATTGACGTGAACATATATTATGTTCACCCATTTGTGATGACATATCAAATTCAAGAAAACGATTACGTAGAATTTCAGCCATTTCATTAGCATCATAAGATGATAATGCATCAGATTCAGGTAAATGTCGAGTAAAATCTGATTTATCCCATTCTAAATCATCACCATATAAACTTTCTCCAACACCAGATGTTGTTGTTGTTGAACGACGACGAAATAATTTAACAATTGAATTTGATCGTGAATTTGGATTCGAATACATTATTTCCATATATGAAGTTTGTAACAGCAGTGAATCGAGTATATATCAATAAGTTGAGAATAGAAAAATTACATAGAAGAAAAATTTTTTCTTTTACCTCGATATTTTTTTTTTTTTTATTATAGAAACGACAAAAAAAAATAGAGAAAAAGCAGCAGCTGTTACAAAACATAGTCTATAAACGATTGATGATTTATTAAATGACGAAAATCTCAATTATCAAGTTATATACATTTTCTATGTTGAAGAATGAAACATCAGCCAGTAAATCGTACAGGCACAGCTGTGTATGCATTAGTTTTATTGTCAAAAGGATTTCTTTTTTTTTATGTATAAAATCTTTTTTTCTTTTTTGTTTATGATTAATTTTAAATTATTACAAATTTGTTAGAATTACGCAGTAATTAATAGAGATATTAAATTAAAAGGAAAATGATTTTTCTATAATAATCATATGATTAACATATGATTGAGTCACATTAGAAAAGAAGGAAAATTTCTAGTAATATATTCATGTATATTTTTAAATAATGGATGTAAAAATGTTATATTGAGTAAGATTGCATGCAATATTATTATAATTGAGAAAAAAAATCGATATTGACGATCATGTTCAAAGAAACGTTAAATAATATCATGCAACAAGTTAATATATTGATTTGAATAAATATGTTAATAATGTTTCAAGGAAACAATTAGTTAATTAGAAGATTTCATAAGAAATTTAAGATTAATCTACTATATGATTCGTGACTCTTAATCATCATAAATAACTTCCTTTTCATCAGGATTATTTTATTAAAACGTTCATTGTTGAAAGTCGTTTTTTTTTCTTACTAACGCTGTTCACTAGATAGGACATTTTTTTTAAAATATATTCTCTTCAACTTTTGTATTATTAAAATATAAAAATACATTGAACAAAGAATCTGATAAATAAAAAGTTGCTAGAAGTCAAAAGGACGCAACAATCCTGACAATTTCAATAATCTATAGAGGCTACTATTTATCACTTGTAAATTATTGTAAAACGAGACAGTAACATAGTTTTATACTGTTCTAAAAGAAATGATGCTTCTTCAAAATAAATTATTAAATATCTTAAATAATTCTTAAAAATATTTTCTTACTCTACATTATTCAATGATTAATCTTATTTAACAGAAAATAATATAAAAATAAATAACTTACTTGATTTAATTGTTTAACAGTTCGAACAGCGTCAAACCATTTGATTTTTGAAGCTGATAAAGAAGTACTATTTTTATCATTTGAATTATTCAATGAATTATTATCTTGTTTGGATAATGGAGGACTTTGACTACTTATTGTATAATGATGATTATTTGGTTCATCTAATTCGGAATGAACAAAATGAGGACTACCACTGGGACTAGAAAACAAAAAAAAAAAAAAGAAAAAAAAAACGGTTAAGTTTATTTATCAAAAAAAAAGGCAAATAAGGTTAATCTATTCTATCAAAAACAATTTTAGCTAATTCTTTCGAGTGTCTTAAAATAAATGCGTGCAAATATCTATTAGTACATTGAATAATATCTCCTTTAGGATAAATTTGTTTCATTTGTTTAACAATATCATTTGGTACCCAATGATCATTAGTACCATAATAAAATGTTATTTTATTAATGAAACGTTTTATTATTTGATCATTACGCTTTTTAACAACAGACATTTCTTCATTTGCCATTTGTAAAATATTTTTTATTGTTAATGGATTTAATAAATCATATAGAACAGTATCAATTAAAATTGAACGATCATCTAATGGTGAATTTGAAAAATAAAATGAGATTAATTTTTTTTTTAACCAATTAAATGGTAATAATAAATTAATAATAAAACATAAAAATGGTAAAATATAAATTAATATTGGATACCAACGTATAAAACGTTTTCCTGCATTACTTTCACTCATACGTTCAATTGTTGGAAAAAGAAAAAATGCTCGATCAAATTGATTTTGAAATTTTTCAAGCATATTTAAAACCATATATGATCCAATTGAATGACCAATTAATATTAATCGATGATTAGGATTTATTGAAAGTAATTTTTCAATTGTTTTTATTTTATGTTCAATTTGTTCATTTAATGTAAAACAATATTTTAAAGGTGGACTATGACCTGCTTGTGATATAATCAATATTGAGATTTTTTCATTGAATAAATTATAAAGTTCATGTGCAAATCGAATATAAAAACCACCAAGACCTGGATTACCTGGAATAATTACGATACTTTTTGATGATAATAATGGATCACCTAATCGGTATATATGAGTTAATATTCCATTTATTTTTATTATTTCTTGTTTTGATACCATATTTAGATTTTAATGAGAGATCTAAAACTTTATTTTTAAGAAAGAAAAAAAAAAAACAAAAACATTTCTGCGCAATTATTTCTTTCTGCTTTCTTTTTCTTTACACATATAAATAAAAAAAATAAAAAAATAGTCTTGAATCTAGATTTTTCTAGGTCAATGTTTATCAGACCAAGAATGAGATTAATGAACGTAAATAATAAGATATGTCAAATATAGATTATATCTTTTCATCTTTATATCAAAACTGAATGAAACAGAATATATTGTTAACGATTAGATAATTTAAGTTAATTCTTTTGAAAAATAATTTATATATTTAATATATTATTTTCTGTGTTAGTAGGAGTTTTTTTACTGAATACTCAAAAGGTTTTAGTAACTTATAGAAATTCTAAAATTAATTTTCTTATTCATCTTGTTTTTCGAAAAAAAGAATTCTATTTATCTTTATTTTTCGAAAAATATCTTAGTGAAGTTTTTCTTTTCTTTTCTTTTTCTTTTTTTTAGTAATAAATTCTAATTTTTATATTGTTGAAAAAAAAAAACTCAACAAAAAGAAAAAAAAGTTCTTTTGTGTTTAATCATTCGATGAATTCTTTTCCTGTAAATAAAAGTTCTCATCTGTTACTCTTTTGAGTAGTTCACAAATGAATATAATCATACGTGAATGTTGCAAAGAATATCAACTTTTTTTTTTTTTTATTTTGGATTACAAAAGTAGTGTTATCAACTATAGAAATTCAAGTTGATACACGTGCCATATTGTATCCTTATTAGAGATTCGAACATAAGACCTTTCATTTATCTAGAAGATAAAACCATCCAACTAAATATTTCAAATCAACCATTGAAAATAAACAACTTAACCGTAAAATATTTGATAGCAACTTGAAAGGAAAAGTTATTCATCTGATATAAAAATGAATAACGACGAAATTGTGTACGTTTAGTTATAATATAAAGGAAATAAATAATAGTTCAAGATCATTCAAGAAAAAAAAAACTATGAAGAAATGATGAAAACAACTAAATCTATTACTAGAATATTTCGACAAATTATTTTTCTCATTTGATATTTTCTTTTTCACTCACATTATTTTTTTGACAGATCGCATCACATTTCGATACCATAGAACAACAGATGCAAAATCAAAATGTTCATCAAAACTTGAATATTGACCAGAAGAATAATAAGTTGGTATACTAGAATTATCACCATCATCGTTATCTTCTTGTTCGAATTGTTCTTCATTTATATTCGTTTTCTCCCTATCTGTATTCGGAATAGATGATGAATTAGATGTTGATACTGGTCGATTTCTATAGGTATAATGATAATGTCTATGTAAATGAGGTTGAAATTGATTTCCACGTTGTTGTAATAATAATAATTTCGCATGAATTTGATCATCAATAGATTGATTTGTTATATCGGATGTTTGTTGTTGTGCAAGATATGTTGGATATGTATGTTCATTAGTATATTGTTGTTGTGGAACATCAATATAATTCATTTGTCCACTTGAATGATATGGATTATGATAAAATGAATTATTATTTGATTCATCATCTGATGATGATGATGGTGAAGAAGGTATTTCATTTTTATTATGATTTTGTTGTTGTTGTTGTTGTTGTTGACAAAAATATGGAGATGGTATCATTGAATGATGATAGGGGAGAGAAGAGGAAGCATTGGCAAGTGAATCACGCAACCATCCGAGCATGGTGAACAAGAAGCACCAAGAACACGCTTTTCTGTCGTTCTTGTTCTGGTTTTTCTTCACAAGTAATATACATTCATGAGAAAAAAAAACCGAGAGAATCTTTCTTCATGAGATTCGACGCAGCATTCTCGTTATTATCCTATCGTGTCTTCAAGGCAATGGCAAGAAAGAAGAGAAGAAGAAGAAGAAGAAGGAGGGTGAGAATGCGAGAATGCGTATTTGCTCATTAATAAATTAGAAAAACGACATTGATTTTCTTCGTCTTTCAGTCTTTTCTCTTTTCTTCCTGTATTTATTTCGACGACTAGTGTCGCTTAAATCTTTTTCTTTTACGCTTTCCCTCTTTTTTTTCTTTTGTTTTTATCCTTCTATTGAAAAATAGTCAATAATAGAACAGGACTTAGTCGTGTTTTTCATTTATTCCTTTAACATGCTCTTTTTGACCAAGAGCAAGATCACATATCCATCTCTCTTATTCTTTTCATAGATTAAAAAAAAAAATCTCGGATAATTAAATGATATTTATTTCTTTCTATATTTAGATCAGTCAATCAATATAATCGAAATATCTATAAGGTCGTAGAACTAGAAAAAAAAGGAAATCAACTTAACAGTTTACATTAAAAAAAGGAAAAAA